CCTAGATCTTACCAGCCTAGATCTTACCTAGTCACCTAGATCTTACCAGCCTAGATCTTACCAGTTACCTAGATCGTCAAGAATGAAACCAGGGAGCCATCTCTGCTAGATTAGCTGCAAGTATTCTTACTCACACGTAACTCTGTCAGCTTCGGTTTCATCATAGTGAGGGTCCTTAGGAATGCTCATGCCCCAATTTGGGGTAACTCCCTAACCTAATGCTCCCTGAAGGGCATGAATGGTGATGACCATAATCATATCTAAGATTTGCAAAATACTACATGCCAGACACTGTACTAAGCATTTTTGTATAATCAACTCATTGAATTCTTAGAACCGTATAACATAGATACTATTATCCCCATTTTACCCGTGAAGGAACTGAGGCACAGACAGATGAAATAACCTTCCCAAAGCAAAGTGAATGGTTGAGCAAGGACCGGAACCCAGGTGGTCTGGCTTCAGAATCTGTGCTCCCTGTACCACCTTGCTAAGGGACAGGATGAGTGAAGGCAGACAGCTTGGAAGGCACTGATGTTGTCCAGCCAAGTTTGAGGGCAGAGATTCCCTTAGCTGAGCTCAGGCATGCCTACTTGGTCTCCTGTGGCCCACACGGGTAAGATCTGGATCCTCTCTGGCCCCCCTCCTTCCAGGGAAGGACCAGATCTGGCTTTACCTGCCTGCTCTGCCAGACTCCTTCTAGAATTCTATTGGTGCCTGGTCTCATCCAGCTGCCTCCCCTGGTCCTGGATGAAGTGAAATGGATAGAGAAGTGGGCCTCAGAACTTGGGAGGTAGGGCTGATATGTGGGCCTAGAGGGAGGGTCGACAGACTCACATGAGGTCTAAGGGGGAGTAGATGCGAGCATCATGAAAGGAAACCAAACTCTTCCTTAACTCACGGGAGGGTTCCTGGTCACATTTAGTCCCCTCAGCCCCTTCTCAACCGGGGGACGTACTGCCCTCTAGGGGATGTTTTGGAAACCCGTGAGGGTAATTTTTTGTTATCTGCATCTGTTGGGGGGTTGGGTGGGCATGGAGGAGGGTCTCCTGGTATTATTTCATGTCTTGGGGCCAAAGATGCTAGGCATACTGCAATGATCAGGGCAGCGCTGCACAAAATGTCCCACATCCCACATGTGTTTTCAAAAGTCCCACCGGATACCAATGTAGGTGAAAAACCTCTTATCAAGGGAGCCTAGGACTCCGCTTCATTTTAATTATGAACACAAAGTATTTTTTGAACCATTTCAAACACTGAATCTTCCAGAAATGCAACTAACACGTAGATTGAAGGAACTTATCGTTTGCTTTGTTCAGAACTTTCACCAGGAGTTGCTTACCATTTCAGAAACCCATGTCATCAAAGAGACTGCTACTGTGGTACCCGAGCTGCTGATACCCATCCGTGTGCATCTCTTGCTGTTGCGCTCACAAGGATTCTGTATTAAGTTCAAGGCTCTGACTATTATGTGTAGTCATGCCTGATGTTCATGTTAAAATGCTTTCCATTTTAGAGGTGCTTGGGTGGCTCAGTTGGTTAAAATACTTTCCATTTTATTACAAATTAATCTTTTATTTCACCTTTATAATATAGTTAGAGAGAGTATTAGATTCACTTTTCAAAAGTAGGTATCTAGTTTATATTGCATATGAATATTGTTCAGGAGAAAAAACAAGGGCCACTGGGCTGAGGGCATTAGGAACTATTGCCTTAAGCCTTTGGAAAGCCAGGCCCAGCACTAGCCTGAAGATTCAGGACTCTGTCTTTCTTCTGCTTCCATGCCTTTTCTCTCTAAAGGAGACCCCCAAAGCTTCCAGCTAAGCTTTAAGTCTTTACCGTGGGTGGGGCACTCAGAGAGGGACCACAGGATAAATAGCAGGATTT